TTGTTGTAGGCAGATGAATGGAGACCTGGTCAGGAATGAACTGCTATTTGGAGAGTGCACAAAAGACTGTTCCAGGCATAGGTATCGCTGGTGGTTTTCTTTGCAAAGCTTCTGTGAGGTTCACAAAGGTGCATCCTCTGCTTGGTGCTGTTTGGTATTTTGAGTGCTGGATGACCACTGATGTAGGAGATGTGGCTTCACAACATAAAAGTCTGTGAACATAAAGTAGTCTGCAATTAACAACAGAGGAATTCCTGCCCAGAGTGAGTGATGAACAGCAAGTGAGCAGTTCGGTCAAACTGACGTGGGCAACAGTGGGTGTTAGTCACTAAGACATGTTTGAAGTGAGGTTTTTCCTCTGGGATGTGATAACAGGATGTCAAGATAATGAGATGCAGTAACTAACTCTGTTTTACCTAGGCCATCCTCTGGCTTTAAATATCAAAGATGATGGGAAGCTGGAAGGAATTCAGGGGAGAGAAAAAAACAAATAGGGTTTAGTATGAGAGGGCATAAAGCTCTAAGAAGCCGTGGGCTGAAGAGGTGGGGAACGGGCATCAATTTACTGTTGTCTTTCTGAAACAGATCCTTTGGGAAGGCTTCAGGGATTTTAATATCCCTCATGGATCTTGCTGTTGAAGTAGGGATAGGTATATTCAAAGCTGGCATGCAGCCTGGCAAGCTGTGCTTCCACCCTGTATCCTGAGGTGTACAAGACAGTTTTGTTTATCAAAGGAGCTGCTTGAAGACTCAATGCTTGCCACATGCCCACAGCTGAAGTGACAGAGCTCCATGTTTCACTGGCTGGGGTCTCCAGACGATGTGCTGTCCTCCCTGGGTACGGGGGAGTGAAGGGCCCCAGCTTTGCAGGCAGGAGCAGTGAGTGGGATGGCTCCGTTGCAGGCTGCGAGTCAGTTACCATCACTTTTTCTTTGCTTCTTCATATTTGGAGTAACTTCAATGTCATGATGCAGTGAGGGACAGGCTTTTTCTCCGTCACCCATGCAAACAGCTAATCCAGGTTTGTGGCAGATTTATTTCCCAGTTGGTCAGCAGTGGCTGTTTGGAAAGGTCCGTCAGTGGCACATCCATGCCCTTCGTGGGGAGCAGCCCAGCTCTGGCACGCAGCTTCCACTGGAGGCAGTTGCCTGGCTGGATGTTAGTTACCGAATGCTTCAGAATTGGGGAATTTCTTCCCAAAAGGCGTTTTCCTTTTAAATGTTGATAGTGAGGTACAGAGCTGGGCACATGGCTTTACTATAGTTCAGTGCACTTGGGTGTCTTCCATGGCTTGTTTTGTATTTGACATGTGTGAATTGTACAGTTCTGTCTGCTTTTTACATAGGATGCAGTGGCCAAAAATACAAACAGCAGCAAGGATTACTCAGCTGGGGATGAACAGAGAATAAGACACTGAACTTCTCATTTCTCAGCAGATTGTAGTTTCTTCTTGCTTATTCTATGAAAATAACTGGAACTCCTGTTTCTGTACACCTGAGCCACACTAGATGCGATTCCTCTGCATCTCTTTCCTATCCAGACAGCAGCGTGTTACCAGTTCTGTCCTGGCCTTTGTGTGCTGCCACATCTGAGAGTTTTCATTAAGAAATAATTTCAGTTTACATCTGTCCATTGCAGCCTCAACCCCTCTTTAATCCTGGTGCTAAACTCATGTTCCTCGGCTTTAATTCCCTCTCTAATTGCTTCCACTGCGAATTGCTTAACATCTGCCCCAGCGGAGTGAGGTCTCAGTCCATTTCCAGCCTGTAACGATCGTATCACACTTTAATCCTATTTTGTTTCACTTCCACATCATCCCTCTGGACTCAGATCCTCTGCAGGCCCACTGTGACATTCCTGAGGCGACGGGCACGCAGAGTGAACTGTGTTGACTTGAACAGATCTCCCTGTACCCCATTAACCACCAGCTCTGAACTTGACATCACACCATTAATCTTTCATTGTGTGCTTGGGCGACTCTCGCGTCGTTGCAGAGCTCCAGCTAATTCTTGTGGCTTTTTGTGCATTGTTTCAGTGTCTGGAACTATTCTTAATTCTTTTCTGAGAGACAAAAATACTGGGTTCAGAACATTTTGGAAACTCTTGAAGCCTAATAGGAAACCAGAGTGTAAAGCCAAATCAATTAGGTAGTTAAAAACAGTCACTTCAGAGGCACAAGGCAGAGCTTTGCTGGGTTTTCACCCTTGACAGTGTGGTCTGTGCTCAGCTGAGGGACCCGCACACGGGGTCTGCAGTCTGTTGCTCTGCTGCGTGTAGGACAATGCTGGTGGTCCTCAGAAATAAAGCCTGGGTACATCCCCCTGTGTCCGCTCTTCAGCGTGTTCAGAGAACTTGTGCTGGCGTTTGGGTAATGGAAGACAGAGGTTTTGTTTGGGTGCTTACTCCAGCTCTTTCCTCTGAGAGTGGAGCTTGTAATGAGCCAAATGCTGAGGGGCTCAGCATGGAGATACTCCATGACTTGCTACCCCCCTGCCCTCTCCCCTGTCCCCCTTCCTCCTCCAGCTGAAGCTACCCCAGCCCTGTCCTAACCTGCCATCTGCTTTCGTTTAGAGTCTCCCTGTTTCTTTTCTCTCTGCTTCTGACTTAATCCTTTGCCTACTTCACAGGCCGATTCTTTGATGAGAATGAGTCCCCTGTTGATCCGCAGCAGGGTTCTAAACTGGCAGATTATAATGGGGATGATGGTAACGTGGGTGAGTATGAGGCAGACAAACAGGCTGAGCTGGCTTACAATGAGGAAGAGGATGGTGATGGTGGAGAAGAAGACGTCCAAGGTGAGCTTGGGCCTTATCTCCACCCCATTGTAACAAAATCCGCACTAAGTTTACTTGTTGAATTTGTGTAAAGCCTTTCTACATTGACCTGATCACAAACTTTCCATATGGAATGAATGAGCTTTAGGCAATCCTTAAACTGGGTCCTGCTCGTGCTTGAGAGCGATGCTCTGGCTGTGGGCAGTGAGAGGATTCTAGTACATTATTTCGGTTGTGCAGCTTCTGCTGGAGAATCAAGACACTCACATTTCCCAGATGTGGTTCCCACCTCACTGGGATGCAGCCTTGGGTGCTCCTAAAGCCATTTCAAACACAGAAGGGTAGTTTCTGTGAATACTTCTTTTGTTGTATGCACCCTGGGGCCGTACACAGCGAGGTCTCAGCTGGGGATCCTCAGTGTGATCTTTGTGCCTTGTACACAGATTCAACAGGCTCTTGCTTTCCTTCCTAACCCACCTTGTGAGCGGGTGACCCGGTGCAGCCTAACACCCGCCTGTGCATGTCACCACCTCTGCATGTGCTGCTGAGCACCACCTCCATCGCTGTGTGCCGTGGACCTGCCCCCTCTCTGCCATCCTCCCCCTACTGCTGGTCACAGTCTGTGAGATGTTTGCATGTCTGGAGGGGAAAACGTTCCCATAAGCATATATAGTATTTGCATTGAGTATAAAATAGAGGGGACCCCCCTGCAACCCTGATTGACATTCTGTGGGCACCCTGATTTTGATCCTCATAAGGCAAGTTTTTTGTGGTAGTGTTTCAGACACGTATTCAGTTGCTGTCCAAGCATAATTAATGGGGAAAGCTGGTACAAAGCACCTGATTTCTGTGGGCACACATTGAACTGTGCAGTGTAAGCGGGTTTTTGGCCAGGTTGGTAGTTTGAAACTCATTAGCAAGCAAAAGGGAAGTGTGGATCAGAACCGGGGCAATTAGTGCACTTGCTGATAGAAATGAGACGTGTGCTGCTGCTCCAGCAGCTGTGGGCTGTTCTGTTACACTCTGCTCGGAGCTAGCAGTGGATTCTGGTTGTTACCCTCAAGCAGTGGTTATGATCTTGTCCCTGGCAAGGGTGGGTCTCTGTGTGTCTGTGTGTCCAAGCTCTGCCCTGCACACTGAAGCAGTTGGTGGGTTGGGTGCTTCAGGTTACTTAGCTCAGTTCCCCTCGGTGAGCAGGGGCTGATGCCCAGCCCCTCACCAGGTCCTTAACTGGACTTCACAAGACAACTCTTGGCACTTTAACCAAGGCCAGGGAACTGTTCCTGAAGCTGTCCCAACTTCTACCACCCACCTTACTCAGCCCTTGGGCCTGTCTTCACCAGGAGCATGGGAAGAAGCAAAAGGAGGCCTTAGAGCTCTGCGTTGGTGTCCTTATCAGCACGAGGACATCACTGTGGTGGTCTTCATGGGGAAACCGAGGGCTTTAGGTAGTGAGAGTTAATCAGTCCCATGTGTGTTACAGCTATTACCAGCAATGTGAACAGTGTTCCTGCACAGCATGTACAAAAGGGTGGGGAGGATACAGACATCAGTGGTGGAAAAGTGTTAAAGACCACAGAGATTGTGCTCATGTAGCTTGAGGTTTGAAAAAGCAAGAGCTCTAACTGAAAGTGGCCTTGTAAAACAGCTCACCAGAGATGTGGTACCTGTCAGCTCACTGCTGCGCTGGCCTTGAATTTGGACTTGGTGAAAACTGTGTTCTGATCCCCCTGCCCTGTATCCGTACAGAGATAATGGTTCACTACCTGGCGGTGAAGATAGAGAGACTTCTGGAAGCCTTTTAATGAAGAGTGGTCTGAGCAGTGCATGTTACTGCCTCAAACTTAACTTTCCAAGCCCTCTGTTACGCTGTTTCCTAATGAGTTGTTGACCTGACCCGAGGTTCAAGTCACACAGCACAGCAAGAGGTGCTTCCAGGGGCAGTGTCTTAGGAAAAGTCTCTCTTTTGGTCTTCACAGGGATCCGTGTGAGGGTGGGATCGTGGGGGGTGCAGGAGGGGGCTGGGCTGTGAAGGGGTGGGAAATAATTCCTGTCTGAAAATGATTAGGAAAACATCGCCTGGGTTTGCATCAGGCTGGAACAAGGCACGTGGCGGGTGCAAACAAAGCAACAACGTGGTTTCTGGGCCTTGGGCTGAAGTGATGAGAGGCAAATACACAGACCTGCAGGATGTGTCCATCCCGGCATTCCAGTGTCCATCCCTGCCCCTGCTCGCGGGGCTGTAAATGGTGTTGGCCTCTGCTGTGGTCGGTGTGGTTTGTGGTGGCCGGGCAGCGGAGGAGCCCGTACATGGGTGTGGAGGTGGCTCCTCTCTGCCCAGCAGCACATCGTGTGGGTGAGCTGGAGGAGGAGCCCCGCGGGTGCTCACCTCGCTCTTGGGCTGGCGGGTAGTTGTTGTACGAGTGTTGAAGGGCTTCAGACAGCTTTACACCTAGTGAAATCTCTGCTTTCCAGTCCTGTGAACAAGCATCTTTGCTGCCCAGAAAGGCACAGCCCAGCTCCGAAGCTCAGGAAGGGCTGGGAACTGAAACAAGGGAAGTTTTAGGGCTTGGTCACTTCCTGGGGGAAGGAGGCTGGAACCCACCCGGGACAGAGCAGAGTTACTGCAGGTGGAGGGCAGAGCATTAGAATGTATTCTAAAACATCACTTGAAAAAACACTGAATGTGCATTTTCCTGATGGATTTCTTGCGTGTGCTGCAGGAAATGGGTGTTCTCAGGATGCACAAGTTGGGAATTTCTTAACTTTACAGTTTTTCAGGAGGCTCAAAACCCAAAATCCAAGGAGCATAAGTCAAGAGGAAGGACAGAGTAGAGAGGGGGAGAGGCAGGCATTGTGGATCTGAAAGACAACGTGGAACATCTTAAAGAATCCCAGCCTGGTTTGTGTTGGAAGGGAGCTTAAAGCTCCTCCAGTTCCAACCCCTGCCACGGGCAGGGACACCTTCCACTAGAGCAGGTTGCTCCAAGCCCCTGTGTCCAGCCTGGGGGATGGGGCGTCCTCACCCTTCCCATCCAGGACAGAGCTGTAAATGCATTGTAAGGATGAGCTGAAGGACGTGGCAGCCTGGAGTGGCAGCGTGCTGCCCTGGCTCCGCGTTCCCAGCGGAGCGTGCAGCTACTCTGCAGGTCAAGAGGAGGCATCTTGCCTGATGGGTCAAGCACGCATCACGGTGCAGGCTTGTTCCAGTTGTGAAGAGCAGAATGTGTCGCTGGTTCTTCAGCAGTACTGGGAGGGAGGACAGGGATTTCGCTGATGAGCCTGGAAGGGCTGGGAGCTGCTGTTCCTGGTTGTAAAAGCCCCTCTTCAGCTTTCAGCCCCGGGTCTGCGATGGGAGGTGGTGGTGTGTGAAACACCGGCAGTAGGGCTGGCTCCAGCAGGAGGGAAAACCCAGCACCGAAAGATGCACTGGCCACCCCGGTGTGGAAGGCACCAGCTTTCCAGCCGGAGGAGTAGGTGGGAGCAGCGTCACCGTAGCCTGGAGGGGGTCCTACTGCTGCGAAGTGCCAGCCTCTGCAGCACCCGACAGCCCGAGCTCCAGAACGGGCTGACCAGCGTTAACGGAGCTTTGCGGAGCAGCCGCGGGGGGAGCTGGGCTGCAGGGGGGGAGCTGGAAATGCTCAGAGCAAGACTCTCAAGTGCCAGCAGTGAGTTTAACTCCCCTGACCACCTCCCGAGTCACTCCATCTCCGCAGCAGGGTTGCAGCAGAGCCGGGGATGCTGCCCCAGGAGCCGACAGTCACCCCAGGCCTGTGTTCTCTGTGTTCCCCAATGAGTTCATTCCCAAACCCGGGCACACATGCGGTGTGATGTATGCATTGGCTGCTTAAATGTCTGTCAGGAGCATCGCATCAGATTTGAGCTGAGTGGTTTAATTGCAGATGATGAAGAACGGGACCTCCAGAATGACCTGGTTGACTACAGCAAGTCCCGCTTCAGCGACGGTGTTCTGTGAGCTGTGAACAGGGACAGGATGAGGCTGCACCCGAGGAACCCGACGTGCTGCAGAAATGAACCCTTCCTGCTTCAGGTTCCTTACCTTAAAGGGAGCTGGTAACAAAAAGTGTCACATACTCAAAGTCAGCGAGTACCAGGAGGCAGTGTGTACATATGTGCATAGTTGTACTATTGCAGATTGTATTAAAACTACATTTTTGTTGTTACATTGAGCCAATTACTTAGACTGTTCCTTCTCTGTAATAATCTTTACACTTCAAACTGGTATTATAAATACGGGCTGACTTGTTTCTGCGATTTAGACAACTTTGTAAACTGGAGAACTTGTACAGTTTGTATCTCATGTAACAAATCCACTGTGGAAGCACTGTACAGCCAAAGGACTCCTTTTCTACAGTACCTGTCTGAGGGACAGCACTCCCACCTTCCTCGTGCGTCCGTGTTGTGTTCCGCAGGTGAGCTGTCACTTGGGAATGAGGACGGGATGTTTAAAGAGCTGCTCCCTCCTCCATGGAGCCGAGGGACGTGCAGCACGAACCACCTCAGTTCTGATCACAGCGACCAAGTCTCGTAGCTAGAGCTGGAAATCAGCAGTTACTAGAATTCCAGTGATTTGAAACAGCCTGAAATAGTTGTGTAACTAATAGCTTGGTTTAAAAGGTGATAGAAATAAAGCAGCAGAGCTTGTAGGAGACCCGCGTGGGTGTGCTAAAGAGAGCAAGTGTGTTAGGGAGAGGCGGGCAGGTCTGTGCAGCTCTGCAGGGACGCTGTGTGTGCTCTTACTGTCCAGCAGCATCCATCCTGTTGTCACACGAGTTAATTTGCAGCTTAATGCTTTGATAAGTCTCTGTCTGCCATGTTCCACGTTTTGATTTGCTGTAGCAGAAGGTTTGCAAGTTCAATACTTTTTGTGTTCTGTGTTTCAGCACTTTCTGAATCTCATGGGAATGATTCTGTTGATCTGCAGTTGTGGCAAGTAAGGTTCTGAACCCAACCTGCTTCTCCAAAAGGGCTACTGTGAACAGGGGGCCCAGGGCCTGGGCGGGTGGACGTTCTCTCTGTACTTAGGTTCTGATTTGGAGCCACAGTTGAGGTTTGCTCAGTGCCCATCAGTGAGCCTCGGACAGAAACCACACCAGTTGTACAATTCCTTAGTTGGCTGCAGGGATCTCTGACCCATCAGTTTTAAACAGAGAAGAAATGAACCTTTCAGCCTCTGGCACCACATCTCGGGGGGGGTTTGTTTGAGGCTTGAGCTCTTCATCCCACACTGCGGGGAGGCAGATGGGGAACAGCCCTTTGCATGGTGTGAAAACGAGACACTGAACCTGTTCAGCATGAGGCCCCCTCCTAAAACCCCACGAGGAGCAGGAACTTGTGCCAGGGCTCGAGGAATTGGGGTCTTCAGCAAATACTCTATTTAAGCTCTATGATTTTTCTTTTTTGTCTTAAAATGTAATTTCACCCCAAATTAGGTGTTAACTTGAATTCTTCTAATGAAAGCAACAGTTATGGGTTCTAATAAATTAAGTTGTTTAAGGTATATGAGGCTCCTGGTGTTTCTCTTTGACTTTTTACAGTTGGACTAATTTTGGGCTTTGTGGAAGTCGAGGTGCTTTTAGCTGCTTGTCTCCTAGAGCATTAAACCAGTTCATGTTATTCCTTTGAATCTGCTCAAGTGGGGGCTTTTGAAAACAACAGACACAAACCCCTTTTCTGTATCACAAGCAGAGTGGTCCCTTGGCACCTGGGGCCTGTGTTAGTACCTTTACCAGCTTGAGCAGGGTGGTAAGTGACAGGCGCAGCGTTCCTTAAGGGATTTCCCTGTAGCCTGGTTACTGCTGGACATGATGCACAGTGACAAAACTGTTGGATAACTGATGCTGGGAAACAGGTGAATTTTATCATTATAGTTTTGCTATAACTGTTACATGCACAATCAGTTTATTACATAGAACTTGTCTTCTTGCCAGAAGCTGTCTCTTATTTATATTTAGAAAAGCCCCACTTAAGTTTCTTTAGGTCAATCATAGTAAAAATGAAAAGGACACTCATCCCAGCTTCCTGGGCTGACCCCCCGCCCCTCCATCACTGCAGTAGTTGCTGCAGCAGCCTTGTGCTGCGCCCACTGGATTTGGGAATGTACTTGCAGGTCAGAATTGGTTGGGCAAGACAAGAAATTGGTGTTTTTCATAGTATTTTAAGATGGTGAAACAGCCCAACCCCAGCCCAGAAGGATATTTGGCCCCAACCACTGCACTTTGTGGGTTTCTCTGTTCTTTATTTGAGAAACTGATACAGTTTTATGGCTTATGTCATGATCAGCCAAGGAAGGGGGAATACAGAGACACGAAGCTGATAGACAAGGATCTGTCTTGGAAGAAGATTGCACCTCTGGCGTGGTCGGTGCCTCCTTGGAGAGCAGGAGCAGGGTGGCTGGTGTCGCACCCCTGGGCTCAGGGAAGGTTCACCAGGGCGCGAGTGCTACTGGTTCCCTTCCCACAAGCACTGAGCTCCTCCAGGAGCAGCGGCACCCGGGGCTGCGGCCGCTCAGCCTCCATGGTTTGGGAAGTGCTCGGCATTAGCACAGCCCCTATAGAAGCAGTTTGATCTCGGTGGGTATCCTTTTAAGGAATCCAATTTAGGTCACCAAGCATTTCACCCTTTGTTATTCAGTGATCCAATCCTTAAAGAATTCTAGTTCTAAGGGGAATTGTTCTGTCAAATTCCACTTTGGTAAAAAAAAAACAACCCTGTGTTCTTTTGGGAAGTGGCCAGATTGTGTTGAGCAACCCTCCTTGCTCGGGGTGGTTGTAGGTGGCTTCCTCATGGCTCTTCCCTCTCCCCTCTCTCACACGTGGCTCTTGCTCCTTCTCCCCCCAGCCAGCCCTGTCCCACCTTCACCTTCCCTCTTCTCCCACTGCACCTACTTCCAACAGCTCTCCAACAGTCGGGACCGTGGCTCCGGAGCATCAGGACACTTGCTCCAGCGAGGAACAGTATCCAGCCACTGCTTGAGCTGGAAGTGTCTGAAGCATCACGCTGAAGGTGTGGGACTGCAACCAGGCAGATTCGTTCTCCGGGAGCTCCTCATCCTCAGGTCAGATTTGTTCTTGTGCAATATCCCGGGAAGCAGTGAGTCCTGCTTGTTTAACCCTGTTTCTGAGTGCTGGAGTGATGCTTGAATGGGGGTAACCTCTTTGGCTGTAGGTGGGCTGTTCCTAAAGCAAGTGTCCCCAAAGGCAAAGGAGCCCCAGAAATAGGGCTTGCTTCTTTCCACATCCTGGTAAGGGCTGCAGCCATCCAGTGATCAAGCCGTGCTCAGGAGCCACTTACCATTTCCTTGCAAGTGCAGTCACTAACACAGTCCTCATCCAACACCTATTCCCCTCCTTTGAGGAGGGTGGAGGCCTGAAGAGGTGACAGAAGAGCAGGTGCTGAACACAACACAACCGATGCCGGTTTCTCTAATCAAAGGTGAGCAAACAGCACCTCACTTTTAAAAGCATTAGTTTGAAACATTAATCACTGCTCTGGAGACTTGCTTGAGGGTGCCCAGCCAAGGGCCAGGCTCTGCTCAGCACCACTGCCCATGTTCATGACTGAAAGTGATGAACCTGTCAGGGTTTTGGGTTGTGAAGGGGACGGGGAGGTCGTGCGCTGCTCCTGCGGAGCCCCTACCTGTCTCCATGGACATGGCAGCACACAAAACCTCCCCAAGTGACTTCCACACCTGCTGCCCCGAGAGCAGCAGCCGGACTCTGCCACGAAACTGGCCGCTGTGTTGGGTGGGACTGGTTCACAAGAGGAATCAAACACAGCTCCTCGTCACAACAGCCCAGAGACTTCCCAACAATAGACCTAGAGCTGAAGGGAAAGGGGGTGTCCTGGGTTCAGCTCCAGCAGTCATTTCTCTCCTTCTTAGCAGCTGGTGCAGTGCTGTGGTTTTGACTTTCAGTCTGGGAACAACGCT